ACCAACTTGTGCATCACCAGCTGTTGAAAGACCTCCTCATGCATGTCGTTGTATTTCGCCTGGGCAGCTGCTCCTGTCATGGCGCATAGATTTGTAACAGACACTGGCAATATGGACACATTATGCGTCGCGGAACCTCGCAGTATGACGAAAATAACTTCATTGATGACACGTCACTGGCCATGCTCACTCCACCATCCGCTGGGTCACTCGAATAAGCATTCAAATTTCAAGGTGGATCGGTCACCATAACCACACGTGACTAAGCTGACTGAGTGAGTGACTCAGGTGCGGGTAGACTCGGTGTCTGGCAATCTTTACTGCTCAGTCATTAAGACCGTCCACGCAAAACACGTCGTCTTGTTGACTCACCCGAGCTCACGAAGGGTGATATCTGTTACGAGGTCGTAGTCAATTGCCTACCTAGTTATTGGTGTAGGCAGCGTCAAGATCACTCGTGAATACAAGTGCGTTGACGCAGCCATATTAATGCAAGATAATCTGGTAATGTAACGTGGGTATGAATATTGTGAAGGCTGGAAGTACGCGGCGTGTAGTGAACGGTAAGCAGTTGTGTCTACCTGAATTCTTTATTGGTCGGTAGAACTCGATAGTAGGAAGCCACAACATTTAACGTTAGGGCTAAATACGAATGGACTACGCGGAAGGAGTTGGAAATGAGTGGGACTTCAAGGTGGAAATTAGTGGACCAAACAACGCAATTTTATTTGTGTGATTGGATGTTGAAATTGCGTGAGCTATTTAGCCTATGTGAGTGCTCACATCCTTTTGGTCTTTTTCAAACTGATAATGGCTCTCTTGCATTGGTCCGCCTCCTTACGATATCAGAGAAGACGTGAGACGCTGCATCATTATTCCTACTTATGCCTGCTCTCATGTTGCGCCGTGAGGTGCGTTTGAAGTGGCTCTTAGGGTAGCACACAACTCCAGCAAGTAAAGATGGTCGATGAAATCGTGTTTGGGTACAACGGCAAACAACCAACAAGTAATTGTCGTTCTTTTAAA